ATTAATATACTATTATTGGGATATACTAATATACTATATTAATAATGTATTTTTTCATACATAATCAATTATCCAAAAAATTGATTTTTTCAACAACCCCAGTCCCCAATTGATTCAGATAATCAATGCTGTACTGTAATTTGTTCTGGAGACCCCAAAAAAATAAATAAAAAATTATATACTTTCTTACTATGCTTATTTACATAATATAAACTAAAAGCAATGTCTCCATTTTTCATGAATGGCACATCTTTGTTTCTCAGATGCTATTTCCATTACTCCTTTAGATTATCTTTCTTAGCTTAAGTTGTACAGTATATAGTGTAGACCTGTTGAAGTCATCTGCCTACAATATCAGATATCATCTGCCCACCCTCTTACCTTGGCTATTATCTCTTGCTTAGTTTATATAGTGAATACAGTTCTTGACACTTCACTCTTTTTAGGCCCCATAATATTATCAGTTTTTTAAATAAAGTTCAGAAAAGCACTTACAAAAATTCAGACAACAAAAATTAACTAGTGCAAAAAAGATTATGTATACAACTGTAAAAGCATCGTTCCATAAACCATTCACAGATGCCATTAAAATATAGTTTTAGAAAGCTTAAACACAGCATCACTTCTTCTTGTGTTTATTCTGTCACAGTAGCGTAGCGTAGGGGGAGGCAGGGGCGGTCCGCCCCGGACGGCAAAATTTCATAATAAATAATAATAATATCTTGTAAGAATTTGAACCATTTTATTTCACACTTTCGAGCACCTACGATTCGGACCGATTAAAATGAGCACAGAATAGTGTTACCATCCAACTCCGGGGATATCGGATATTGTGCACAACCTATCGTTCTTTTGTTTTTTTTTATTTTTGCTTGTACGATTCTTTCTTAATCATATATACCTTAATATCCAATAGAACTAGGTCACTTGCGTTACTCCTATCCAAATCTCCCTACTCGCTAACTAACTGATTTAGAACCGGCATGCACTGCAAATTATTCTTCGCATTGCAAAATGACATACATGCGTCAGGAACTTCTGTTTGAACAAACCTCACCTGCCATCCAGGTCGGCGATTTTAAAAAGGTGGCAACACTAGCACGGAATTTTTCATTACTTATTCTGTGACAAAACTGAATTTGTCTTTTAAATTGAGATACCTAAATAAGGTGGTGGTGAAATTTTCCTCTGCCCTGGGCGGCTGACACCCATGATATGCCACTGTTCTGTCAGGATAAAAATAATTAATTCTTTCTAGTTCCAGTACAAGTTATCAAAATTATCACCTTTTTACAAATTCCAGCAAATAATTTAATACAGTCATACCCTGACTTACGCGAACCCGGAGTTACGCGATTTTCAAATCTCGTCGATTCATCTTTTGTTTGAGCGCCATGCAACTCTTGATTATTCACTCCCCCCCACACACTATTGTCCAGCTTACATGTTCGGATGTGTCGCGCGGAATCGATGCATAGCTACAATTTATTTTGTGAAATTTATTTCTGTTTGTTATATCTACGGAGACTTGAGAGACTCTATGTGTTAATTTCTTGTAACCGTGAACGAATCAAAAGACGAGATAAGATTAACGAGAACATTTATTAGCTTACATACATCGTACTTGGATTTTACACAAAGGCATCTGCAATCGTGAACAATTGACGAAAAAAGTATACATTTATCAGATAATAAACAAAGACTCATTTTGTAAACAATTTACCTTTTGTATATACAACTGACAAGATTACCTTTCAAATTATAAACAGACTCGATCCCAAGCGGTCTTTTGATCGTCGGACATACAAAAGAAATGAACAGATGGCGCCTAACTTAAGCGCGGTTTACAATAACGAATATGATTAATCTTAACACTCTACTATGTCATCCAAACGAAGTAGAACTGATTCTTCTGCATCAAACAAGAAAAGAAAAACTTTATCTTTGGAATGTAAAGTTAACATTATTAAAGACTTCGATACAAAAATGAAAATTTGTGAATTGGCAAAGAAGTTTGATCTACCGGAATCGACGGTCAGAACAATTATAAAAGATAAAGAAAAAATTCTCGAAGCTGACAAAAATGCTCAATCTTTAAATTCAAGCATCATTCGTAAACGTCACGGTATTATCGCTGAGATGGAAACAATGTTAAAATTATGGTGTGATAATCAAGTTAATGTGAAAAATTGTATAATAATATAATTTGTTATACGTATGTATTATCTAAGATTTTATTAAACATTTTTTTCTAAATTATTGTTTTCTTTAGTCTCCGGTCTCAATTAAAAATAATTTGTATGTATTTATATGCAAAATTATACCCCGAGTTACGCGAATTCAACTTACGCAATTATCGCTCGGTCCCACCTATCGCGTAAGTCCGGGGTATGACTGTATTATAAAAACGTTTTCGATCGTCTTTAGCTTTAGCGATCGTCGATGATGATCGCTAAAGCTAAAGACGATTGAAAATATTTTTATAATATTAAATTATTTGCTGGAATTTGTAAAAAGGTGATAATTTTGATTAATTCTGTCAGGTGTTCATTATTCAACCATGTGTTTGTTATCTGAACATAAAAAGATCTTTTGTTAAAGTGTTCATTGTCCGATTTGTTCGCAGACCAAACTGTTCATTAATCGATCACCCACTGTATATATGAGGGTCATTCTAAAAGAAAAGAACGTTTTGATCTGACAAGCCGCGCAGTTCTCCCACCACCCTCCATTGCCGCACCATGACCCTTCCCATGTTTTCACGCCAGTCTGATGCTAACAGTGAGCCACACGATCATTTACTATTTACAGTGTGACTTTGAAATATGTGACAAAATTAAAGATCCCACCAAGTGTGAGGTTTGTAGTGTAATATGTTTTTTGAATGTGAAAAAAGTCTGCCCTAAAATTTACAGACAGATAACCGAGGTTTATGGTAGTGTTGAAAGAAGCTTCAGTTCAAAACAAATGGTGGGGATTGTTGTCCAGAGGCATTGTGCTTCTTCAGGATAACACACGTCCGCACGCTGCTGCGTTAACAAAGAACTTGCTTCAGCAGTTTAAGTGGGAAGTTTTGGAACATCCTTCTTATAGCCCTAACTAGGCTCCGAGTTATTACATCTTTTCCAAAAATTGAAGAATTTTTTTAGCAGGGAATCACTACGGAAGTAACAACAAACTGAAAGAGGCTGTTAATGACTGGTTCAAAAACTTGGCAGTAACTGAGTGTGCAGAAGGCATAAAAAAGCTGATGATATGCTATGACAAATGTTTAAATTTGTATGGTGACCATGTAGGAATATAGCTAAGATATCATATGTGTTGTAAAATAAGTTTTGTTTCATCATCTTAAATAAAAATATCTAGAGAAACAAATGTTCTTTACTTTCAGAATGATCCTCATAATAATAACTGCACTACATGAAGATAAAATATTAATATAAATGTACAAAATAATAAACAAATTGATGTTTATTAAAAACTAAAAAAAATTTTATTTTTTGAACTTTTTTTTGAAAATGTGCATACCACTAATGAATAACAACACTTGTTAGTGATGACTAATACCACTCTAGGGATCTGGGACTGAATCCAGTCAGATTGAAAAACTCCAGGAATTTTTCAGCAGTGGTCTGTCAGATATATGAGGTAACTGGGTGGTGAGGAATGGGGCCTGAACACAACTCATAATTGACATTATTGTTAAACATAGACATTATTGTTAAACATAGCCATTACATATTTGAAACAAAAAAGTCCATCTTTGTTTTGAAAGCTACTCATGCTAGTTGATCTAGAGATGATGTCTGAGTGCCATCTAGAAGATTGGTTGCTATTTCATTATTCTGAAGCTAAGTTTTACTTAATTTACTTTAACAAAAATATTCATTAGAATGTATACTGCTGTCATAACAGTTATTTAAAAGAAAATTCAATTGAACTACAATAAAATTATGTAAAATTATTCATTTCTTTTGTCAACAACAACAGTGGTGAAATAACTTCTTAGGTTAAATTCCTCCAGTCAAGTCTACTTACTCTTAGGGTCTTCCTCAGACCTCAAATATATCATCCAGTCTGATAAAAAACCAAAAGGATGAAATATCCTATGTCTTCTGAACTTTAATCTATCAATTTCTTATCTCATCCCTCTGTTCAAGTAACATCTTTATCTCTTTTCAAGTACTTCAAAATAAACTTATGATCCAGCAATAATTTTTACTAAACAATATTTCCATCTATGTTAAACAATCATCTCCAGACTAACAGAGAATTTAAAAACTGGTTCTTATATTCCTTTTATTCTTCACACTGAATAGTTCTTTAAAGTATTGCTACTATCTAGTTTGTATATTTTCTTTTCTCCTTAATATCACTCCATCCACCCTCGATTTGTTTTACTTGAATGATCTCTTTTGTTACTTTATTTCAGAATTTAGCCAAGCTATAAATTCTATTCTTCCCTTGTTTCCTGTTTTATACACCTATCTTGAATTGTTCAAACCATCTCTATTTCTCTCTTCTTTATATTCTTCAATAATCTTCAGCTGGTCTTGTTTCCTCCCATTTTTATCTTAGTCCTGATATGCATCTACTTCTCTATACCATTTATCAGTACTCTTTTTCCATTAAATTTTTCTTAATTTAATATTTCTCTACCACAAATTTTATTCATTGCATTGTTTCTCATCAACCTTGTACATTTTCAAATTCTCTTGAAACATGCCCCAACTATTCTATATTTTATCCTTTTTGCACTCTAAGACATTCATACATTAGTTTATGCTGGGGAAGTTTAAAAATTCCAATCTTTACATCTGACTTATTGATTTAGATTCATAAAATCTGTTAGTGGACATCCAGACACTTCAATGTTTGAAGTGTTTGTTATATATATACATACACACACACACACACACTACCAAACATTAAATAATTTCAATTCTAATCACCATATTTTATAACCTAATTTCCTAATTTAAATGAATTATTTGTTTTACCTGGCAGATATGTAGGTGCAGATGGTAAATATCCAGGACTTGTAAATGCAGTTGTAGGATAACCAGGATATGGTGCAGTCATTGTGGCAGGATGAGCAGCAGCGGCAGCAGCAGCAGCAGCAGAAGCTGGCATAGCTTGATAATGTGGCGCTGTAGGTGCTCCAACAGGTGGAAAATCTAAAATCACATTTTTACTTTAAGTTTATATTTTTAAAGATTAACAAATATATATTATAAAACTAAACAGATCATAATATTACTCTATTATTCTCTGCTTATGTTTGTCTTTTAACATAATAATAATATTATTATTACGTTAAAATAATAATAATAACTCTCCCGTGGTCACCACCTGGTCATAGTGGGAGAGCCCAGTAATTTTACAGAACCATAGAGCAATGCAGGCTAGAGCACAAGCTCCTGGCAGGGATACCCATGCCAGTAAGGTCTATGGGGAGAAATGAAGCTAAGAGTGACCACACCCACATTCTGTGGAGATAATTATCATGGTAGTAACCAGATCAAAGTGTGATACCAGCTCTGACGTCGCCCGGGTTAACAAGGTCCGCGTTCGTGGGTTAGGCAGAGGCTCCCTTGGTTACTGGTGGCAAAAGCAGCATCGGCCCAAGCATGGCTACTGCAATACCCTCAACAGATGAGGAATCAACCTAGTCTTGCTGTTTCTGTGGCAATGCATCCACAGACCACAAAGGATGGAAAACCACGCCAACGGATGAAATGGACAACAGAAATGAACGAGTTTATCATCCG